AGTACATTGTATTCTTTAGGAGAAATGTATTTGGAGGATGTAGATCTCTAAAATATTTCCTTTCAGGTTGTCTATAAAGATTTGGAGAACAATGACATCATAGCTTTTCCTGCTATTCTTTGAGACAGTATTTCAAAGTATTCTACAAAAGCCACATAAATTTGATCCTAACAGTCGACCATAAATTTGTTTACACTTCTTTAATTCAAGTACTGACATCTGTGTAGCTCAACAACGAGATTTAACAGATTTAATGTTTTAAAATATATATTTTGTAAAAAGTTTGTCAAGTTTAACTACTCTGGGAATCATTTTTCCAAAAGTGGTCCTTTGAGAAAATTGAAAGGGAAAATGAGTGAATAAGGAATTGTAAAGACATGAACATTATAGAATTTGACCATTTGTACACTTGCAAGGTGCTCCTTATTAGTAGTTTACTTCTGGAAACGTGCTTTACTTGTCCAAATTTTGTGGTGGAAGGTGGAGAAGGAAGTAAAAGAAGAGCTGCTATGAGTTATGGAAGTGCCACTGTCTTCCCAATCTTCTGTGAAAATAAGAAATCCCCCTTTTCCCTAATTTCCCAAAAGTTTGCCAGTGGCTTAGAGGTCCCATGAGAATTTCTCATCAAGACTTCACCACTCTGCTAAAAATGCTAGATATCATCATCCTAAGGAAACCAAATTAACAATAACAGACACACATACAAAAAGACTGAAGTATGAGATTTCATTGCTAAGACTTCATTACAATGGAATAAATTTAGAATTACCTTATATGTTTAAGAGGCAGTGGTAATTAGAACTTTTCTTTTGTGCATCTTTATCTAAATGTTGTATATTTCCTCCTAATCTTGAAATTACAGGTGATAGAGAAATAGTTAAATATAAGTTTTCAGATAAAACTCATAATGAATTCTAATCTTAAATAATTCAGTTTTAGGATTTATAAAATAAAAAATAACTATTTTATATTGGCATTTTGGTATTCTTCTTAATATTCTGAAAATCCAGCTATTAAAAACTTCAAGATTCTTATTGAACAATTGTTACGTGATGAATAAAATGAAGTGATTTTTTTTAACATCTAAGTCAGCAGAAACCTAGGACTTTGTGGATTATTAATATGGTTTTTTTGTGGGGGGCCTTTTACTGAAGGCTAGAATTTTCTTTTTTTTTTTTGAGTTAGAGTCTCACTCTGTCGCTCAAACTGGAGTGCGGTGGCATGCTCTAGCCACCACAGCCTTGACCTACTGGGCTCCAGCGATCCTTCCACCTCAGCCTTCCAAGTAGCTACCACGTGCATGCGCTACCACGCCCAGCTAGTTTTTGATTTACTGTAGAGATGAGGTCTCGCCAAGTTGTCCGGGTGGGTCTTGAACCCCCAGGCTCAGGCAATCCACTTGCCTTGCCCTCCCAAAGTGCTGGGATTACAGGCTGAGCCACTGAACCTGTCCTAGAATTTTCAAACAGAAAAAATATTTTATTTATATGGATTCTGAAGATGTTTATAGAGAGAAATGTCCTCCAGAAATTTGCACAATGTTCTGTATTATTGATTTTACATGATAACAAATCAAATATAGTTTCTTGAATTTAAATAGCCTTGAAGCTAAATTTTAAGATGATTTTTTCTTCTGCGAAGAATAAAATATGTTTATTATAGACATTTGAAAGTATAACAAAGTACAAAGAAGAAATACAAATTACCATAAATTCTTCATCCAAAAGTAACTCTTGTTAACATGTTGATATTTTCCCTCCCAGTATTTTAAGAAAGTTGACTACTGAAGAGTATACTCGTTCCCATTGTTAGCTGGTTTCTATTTTTGCTATCATACAGTGGTAACCAGGAAAAAGAATCAATGTATTTTCAACTAGAAGCTGCATTTTTATTGTCTTATGAGAAGAAAGAGTTTGAAATTTTATGATGTCTTTTTCATGATTGGACTGGGGTTTTAGGTTTGAGGAGGAAGACCACAGATGTAAATGCTATTTTTATATTATATCAAGAGTGCATAATATCAACATGATTACTCACTCTTCATATTGACATTGTTTGCTTAAGTCTAATATCAACAATTTTTGTTATATAATATTTGGACCTCAGAAAGGAATATGTACTTATGTATATGTGTATGTAATGTGTGTGTATATATATATATGTGTATATGTGTGTGTGTGTGTGTGTATGTGTGTGTATACATACATACAAGGCTGTTTAGATTTATATATGTGAATGATAAAATGACCACCTGTACCACCCTTCTTGTTCCCACTCTTCTCAAGGATTAAAACAAATTTTTTTGCATATTTGCTGACAGCAAGAAATTATTTTTCAAATTATATTTGAGTTCACGTTTTCTTCTGTTATCAATACTGTCCTAAAGATATGGAATTTTGTGATAAGTTCAAAATCCATAAATTGTGTGATTATCTGATCTTTGCACATACTTTGAGTTTTTTGAGTATATATATGTGTGTCTCATCATCTTGTTGAATCTGTTTTTAAATTTCCATATTTTTCAAGGGTAGAATTATCAAATGAGTTCATATAGAGAAGGAAAACAGATATTCAGGGGAATGACTTAATTTCTTGTCACTGAATTCTAATCTTTCTAAATGAAGCCTATAAAAATTACAGAAGTAAATTAATCTTTAAAAGAACATCTTACTTAAATTCGTTATTAGCTAAAAGTATGCAAGTTACAGAGCTATGAAAATGAGCATAGAAGATTTATTTTAAGATATAGAAATGCCATTTTTCTAGCCCTGGGATCTTAGGTGGTTTTCTCTTAATTTCTTCATTTGTTACTGTGCTGTCTTCATTATGATAAGTATAAACTGGCTTCAAAAGAGTGATTAGGATAGATTATTTCTGTTTATTTTAAAAAGAGGAATCCTTACTTATCATTTAATTTAACTTAACTGTGTTATTAATTTGATAGACGAGACTAAGGAATAGAGGTGCATTAAGACCCTGCAGCATTGTAATTCATTGATTATTAAGAGTGACAAATGCATGTCCATGGTTGGTTTGTATTTTGTTCAGTTTTAAAATATTTATTTCTATGTTTATGAATGATGTGACATGGATGATACCTACTCTCATGTAAGTGAATCATATTTTAAACCCAAACTTATCTGACTTTGTGATTTCTTTATGTGTGATTTAGGTCTTGTAATAGTCTGGAAACAAAAACAGCATAGGAAACCAATATTGAAATGTCATATAAATCCCACTTGAGAGAAGCAAAGTAGTTGCTCTTCCCCAACTCCATACCTTAAAACACAACCAGAGAGATTGACAGGAAAGAGCAATTTCAGCAGAGGTGGTCTCTCACCATCATCCCCATAGATAAGGAACCCAGTACCAGCAAGGTTGGAGGCCTGTAGTGGTAGGGGCAAAACTTCAATAGTATTTCTTTTGTGCTACTGCCAGCCTTCAAGCTAAATATGCAAATAGGGTAAACAATACAGCAATGTCAGCGAACGACATCACCTGAAAGAGTGGTGATATCTATCATCATTGTCAGAACCTTCTTCACTTTGAATTTGTTCCAATTTATGGTGTTCTACCATGTGTTCGATATTGAGCTAAGTGTTCCATATTCAAAGATACGAAACATTATTTACATCAAAAATGTACCATCTGGTAAAATAGATGGTTAACTAAAAAGACTATTAAAATTCGTGTGCTAGAGGAATTTACAGCTGTGGAAACATAGTCACACAAACTGGGCTGGAAGATAGGAGTCAGGTTAGATTTCAAGAGTTACTGATATCAGGGCTGAACCCCAACGAATAATTAAGGCTAGCTAAGCCAGCAAGGGTGTGAGAAAGCTTTCTGGTAAAGGGATTAGTTGTTAAAACGTGATTCAACCTCAGAAAAATAACTTGTTTGGGCAGTCTTAAACAGTTCTTTATGGCTTGGAGAATTGAGTTGTTTTTAAGGGAATGTCAAGAAGAGGCTGGAAGGATAAAAGACTTTATCAGGTAAAGAGGTCAGATTTTATCCCGAGGTATAAAAGTAGCCGTCAAAGGATTTGAGGCGGGGTAGTGTATGATCAGATCTGCATTTTAAAATAAACATTTTGCCTTCTCTGTGGGAAAAGAAGTAGAAAAGGCAAGACTTCAGAGGGACTCTTTATGAGAGTGTTTCAGTAATTGAGGATAGAGGGTATGCTGGCAGTGGTCGTTTGAGTGGCACGATCCTTGATGCCTTATTCCAGTGTGAATGGATGCAAGAAACAATAAGGAAGAAGAATCAATTGTTCCTAGCAATATACTGGATATTGGGATAAGGCATTAAGAATGATGCTGAGTTTAGAGATTGGTTACCATATCCCTCTATTAAAATACAGCACAGTTCACAACATGGAGACCTGAAAGATATTAGCTCTGTTTCCACTTTCTCTTCCCCTTTATATTATAATCTCATACTTTTGAGTCTAAATAATTAGAATAAGTGAATTTTCATGGACAATATGACTTCAAAGACAAAAACCACATTTTAGTAACTTGTGAAATAACTCATTTTATGGATTCGCCTACTCCTTACTTTACAAAAGGCAAGCAGGTTCCCTCCCATCCCCACCCCACGCTAGCACTCACAAACAGTTCATAACGAAGTTGGAGAACATTCAGAAGCAAGACAAAGAAAGGGCTTGCATCATCTACAAAATATTCACACTTCAGTGAGGAGCCAACGTTTGTCAGAAATCACATTAGGAAAAAATAATCTTTTGTTTCTTTCTGTTAGCATGTGAAATTGTGTCAGTGTTTTTCTTTGTATCTTTGGCAGATTGTTTTTTGGTCTGTAATGAAAAGTGGTTGCAAAAACATTTCTATTTTACTTGGGAGACTGTGACCATGCCAGTGGCTGTGATCTGAGTTTATACAGTGCTAGATCCAAAGAGCAGCAGAGATTGAAGAGTGGCTCCTTGTCAAATGAATGTATGATATATTTTCTAAAATGGTTGTTGTTTTATTCTTTCTTTTCAGGATGAACAGAAGCTACAGGAAAGTTTAAGGCAAGGCACCATCATCATTGCTGCCTTAATCAAAGAAAGAAATTCTGGACTTGTTGGTCAGCTACTGGTAGCATGAAGTGCACAAAGAAAACTACCTGTTTGCCTTTTTAAAACACATATCCAAGTATCTCTATTGTGCTTCATTATCGCCTTATTATCTGTGGTAGAATGTTTGAGATGTCTTCTATGTCATCTTATAATTTGTAGGAACTTAGACTATAAAAGTGGATCATTGTTTATATCAGTGAAATAAAGAATACTTTTGTGCCAGGTGCGGTGGCTCAAGCCTGTAATCCCACCACTTTGGGAGGCCGAGGTGAGAGGATTGCCTGAGCTCATGGGTTCGAGACCAGCCTGGGCAACTTGGTGAGACCTCGTCTCTACAATAAATAAAAAAAATAAGCCGGGCATGATAGTGTGCACCTGTAGTTCCAGCTACTTGGAAGGCTGAGGCGGAAGGATTGCCTGAGCCCAGCAGATTGAGGCTGCAGTGGCTGTGAGCATGCCACTGCACTCCAGCCTGGGCAACAGAGTGAGACTCTGACTCAAAAAAAAAAAAAAAAACCAAAACCAAAAACAAAACCCCAAAACAGAAAAACAAAAAACGATACTTTTGTTTATGTCAAATATAATTGCCTGAACCAGAAAAGAGTGGGTATGTGAAAAATAATAGCCTTCACATGGGAGAATCTTTTCACAAAGTCTTGAAAAGTTTGAAAAAAAAAAGGTGAGCTATTCTTTCAAGCAGGGGTCTCCAACCCCTGGGTCACAGACAAGTATCAGGCCATGCAGCAGGAGGTAAGTGGTGGGCTAGGGAGCAAAGCTTCATCGGTATCTACAGCTTCTCCTCATCTCTGGCATTACTGCCTGAATTCCATCTCCTGTCAGATCAGGCGACATTAGAACCTCATAGGAACACGAACCCTCTTGTGAACTACGTATGAGAGGTATCTCGTGCATTTCATTTCATTTTTTTTTTTTTTTTTGAGTTGGAGTCTCACTGTCGCCCAGACTGGAGTGCAGTGGCCGCTCCCGGCCACCGCAGCCTCGACCTGCTGGGCTCCGACGATCCTTCCGCCTCAGCCTTCCAAGTAACTGGAACTACAGGCGCACGCTACCATGCCCGACTAATTTTATTTATTTATTTATTGTAGAGATGAGGTCTTGCCTGCCCAGGTGGGTGTCGAACCCACGGGTTCAGGCAATCCACTCACCTCAGCCTCCCATAGGCACGGGATTACAGGCTGAGCCACCGAGCCCGGCTTCTCGTGCACTTCTTATGAGAGTCTGATACCTGATGATCTGAGATGGAGCTAAGGTGGTGATGCTAGTACTGGGGAGTGACTGCAAATACAGATTACATTAGCATTGAGGTTTGACTGCACATCCATCCCCCACCTCACATCCATGGAAAACTTGTCTTCCATGAAACTGGTCCTTGATGCCCGAAAGACTGGGGACTGCTGCTTTCAAGGAATGAGAATTTAGAAAGCTTTAGATAATATCTTAACTCTGTGTTAATTAAATCATACTACAATGAAGATAATGGATAAGCGGCAGAATTTTTCTTAATTCTAAAATATCCTTTCATCATGTGATATTTTGTCTTTCTGTCTTGTGCAGAAACTCCTCACACCTTAAAAATTAGGAGGATAACCGGAAGTGGAATTCTTTCTAATGTCTTCCCCATTTGCCTCATGGACTCTAGATCCCTAAAGGAGACATAATCTTATACTACTTTTCTATTTTAAAAGTGTATATTTTTCTTGGTTTAGGAAATGTAAATATGACTTACATTGTTGCAGAAGGTCTCTAGTTATTCTGAATAGGCTTTAAAAGGTCTGGAAAATTTCATAAAAGTTATATTAGTCTATCCCTGGTTTAATTATCTTCTATAAGGCAGAGAATCTGTTGCACATCATAAAGTAAAATTAGCTACTCATTCGATACAGGATATTGCTACCTTTTACAATCAATTTCTTATTCTTTGCAATTTCCATTGGTATATGTACCTTAAATGTTAATATTTTCTGATTCATCATATTTTTAAATTATGTGTGTCCAGTCACTAGAGATTAGGTTTATTATATGCATATTCTTATTTTGTAAAACAGATTATGTCAGATTATTCCAGGATTTAGGCTGCATATTGAAACTAAGTGAAAGTTGCATGAAATGTTTTCAGTTAAAGATAGATGATAAAATATCTACCTTGTGGAATTTTTCTTTAACATGTTGGAGAATTTTTTTCCTGTATTTTTCAAATACCTATATAGTAAAAGAGTTATATATTTTATATTTAAGTCATAGTGAGAATATAATGGGCATGGTATAATAATTGCAATTCATTCTCCTAAATGAAATGTGTTATTTGAATGTAGGCTTGGATCTAAATTCCTGGGCTCGCCACTTTTTTTGTCTCTCTAGGAATGTTAAGAAACATCAAATCCATTTGTTCACATTTTTGAGGGTGAAATATGTGGACAATGTGTAGATTTTTGGTTAGAGTGTCTATGCTCCTGTTAAGGGGATGGCTGTGTGTTGAAACAGCTGCCAAGTCCACACCATGTGCCTGTTGAAGTCTTCGGGTGAGATGTTTGAAGAGTTTGCAAGAGCTCTCAAAGGCAGAAGGGGAAATGTTATCAAGGTTGTAAAGGGGGAGGATAAGTGTCCCCCCTTTAAGAAGAAGGCAGAACACTGGGCATATCTGTGGCACCGCAAAATCACCCTGCTCTATGGTGTTGCTGACTGAGTTCACATAGATTTCAACTTAATAAATGTTATAGCAAATGAGAATTTATCCTGGAGCAGTGAGCATGATTTACCCTAGGCAATCAGACATATTTAGTGTAATTAAGTCTAGTTAATACAATATTAAATCGTGCCTGAAAAAAATAGTATTTGGTTCTTTATAGTTTACAAAGCAGTTTGCAGCATTGGAAAATTACAAATCTGTGCATCCTTCACTATCTAGATGAGGAAATTGGGGATCTTAGTTACCTTGCCAAGAGTCATGGGACTGCACAGTAACAAGAGGCAGGGTTTAAACTCAGGAGGACTGATAATAAGTGTTCAGCTCATTATCCCTGTCTAGCAATGATGCATGGCAGAGACCGCCAAAGGAGAAGCTGCAATGTACAAGCCAAAAGCTCTGAAGGAGTAGTGGAGGGAGGAATGGACACGAAATGGACAGGGAGGGGAGACAGTCTGTCCAAACACCTGACAAGATCCCTGGAGCCTTTGACTTTTCTCCACCTTCCCAACATACAGAAATTGTAGCTGGGATGAAGGAAATGGAGAGAATTATTGGCCAAGAGAGAAAGATAAATGCTTTTATCATTTGTTAAGAGATCCAGAGGCAACCCAGTTAGGTTTTTATCACTGTTTCTGTAAATTTACTTTACTAAGGATGGTCCATTCTCATATTATTTTCCAAAATGTCTTTTAAAAAATAGTGATTATGTTTGAGGATTGCTGACATTGCTTCTACTTGTGAGAAATTTTATGAACCGTTTTCTTTCTAAATTGATGCTACTGAAATGTGGTTTAAAATTAGTCATTTTAGGAATTCCTCACAGTATGAACAATGATTTGGTTGATGACATATTGATAGGAAGTAGTATTTTTTTTCATAGACATGCTAAATTTGAGATGACTTGTTGCAAGTATACACAGCTAAAGAAAAGCAATCCCTATATTCCATCAGAACCATTGTTATTATGGTCATTTTAAGCATTTTGCCTTGGTTTAACAGGAAACACTTTTCCCCTGTTAATTTATTATAGCTCAAATTTTACTTTATATGTATAAATGCAGCAATTATTTAATAAAAATCAATTTGTGGAACATTTTTATATTAAAAAGTATAAATTTTGCTTTGTTTTAATGTTGAAACCAATTATAAATCCACAAAATCATACATCATAATATTTTAATTAAAATATCAAGAAAACTATTTGGAAGGAAAAAGATTAAATGATTGTAAAAGTTTAATTTGTAGATAAACAAAGTAAATTAAACAATTTAATTTAGGATTTGTTTGTATAGCTTAAAATCAGTGGACCAGAAGTGACTGTGTGGATAGTATTTAACATTGTAGCATTTATATATGTTCTTATACATTTCATTTTCAAAATTCTGAAAAATGTATGCATATTTTAAAGATGAAAACTAACAAAGTGCTATGAAAGATTCTAAATACGATCTCTTTACAAAAAAGTTAATTGATAAGCAAATAAGTTATTGATATTTTAAAATCTAATAGCATTTTCATTTATATTTAGTATATATGTACATATTTTTTCAAGCAAACTCAGTCACAAATAAATGTAACATTTTCAAAATATAACAATATGATGCTATACATCACAGAAAGAATTTGAAGCCCAGATCTATTATTCTGTAAAAAATTAAAAGTTGCAAAATCAGCTGTCTCCACTAGATTTTCTCTTCTTCTCTTCATTTTTAACCAGCTTCTTCACAATTATAGTAACTGCTAAGCATTTGAAGCTGTACTCAGGCACCTTGGAAAAAAGTATTGCAATCACTTAACAATGTCTGTGATGAGTTATTGTTTAGGGCTCATCTTTTCCTTCCCTTCCCTTCTACTGGAGGATCACATGTTTAGTTTTTGTATTTGGGATTCATCATGTGACTGGCTTTGGCCAATAGATTGAGTCAGAAGTGGCAGTGTGCTGTTGAGATTATGACTTGTGAGACCTCATGTGTTTCTTCTGCTTCCACCACCACCAAGGGAAGAATATACCCAGCCTAACCTGCTGTCCCCAAAGGGAAGATGAGAGCCTAGGTCAACTGACCCCCAGCTAACCCACATATGGATGAAAGACCCGCCTGGGAGCAGCAGAGACACCTACCCAAATTGCGTTGACCTCCAGCAGACATGTGAGCAAAATAAATGCTCATAGTCTTTTGCTAGTACTGAGTTTTGAGTCTTTTAATTGCACACCGACTGGTAACTAATTAAAGAAAATCTGTGGCAATGTTTGTCCTCTCAAGTCTAAGATGTATCTGGAGACACATTTTACTAAAGCAGAATGCTTATAGGAGAATTATTAC